TTTGGTGTGGACGTGGCCAGGACCAGCACAGTGACAGCATGGTGCTGACTGTGAAACAGGATGGTCAGAGTGATGAGGTGGGCCTGCAAGATCGTGTTCTCTAAGACCGAATATAAATCTTACTCCTTATATCAAGAAGCTTTGCAGAAGAGGGATTACCCATCATAATCGCAAACATAAACAAGAAAAGATGCTTGGCTTGAGTGAGACCAAATTTATTCTAACTAAAAGTGAATTAAAACAGTGTGATGTGGAAATGCTCAGGTCCATGGATGTGTGGCACATGTGCTGATGACCTTTGATCACCCAAATATAAATACTTCATCTTGAGTCTAGTTGAATAGTGTTTGCCATGCCAGATGTTTTATTGTTGCCATTGTGGCTCAGGGTGTGACAGTGACACAAAACAAAGAGAGAAGAAACAAAAAGAAGCCTGGGGAATTTCTTTGCACTCCTCAGTAAGGAATTCAATTCAATTCAGTTCAATTTCTTTTGTATAGCGCCAAATCATAATATACATTATCTCAAGGCACTTTACATAGAAGGTCAGGACTTTTAAATAAAAATATAGAGAAACCCAACAGTTCCCACAATGAGCAAGCACTTTGGTGACTGTGGAGAGGAAAAACTCCCTCATTAACAGGGAGAAACCTCTGGAAGAACAAAACCGGACTAAGGACAGGACAAAAGAACTGTTTCCTTTTCAAGAACTATAAGATGATGACCTATTAAACTAATTTTTACTGTAAGTGCATGTTGGGACTTACAGGAGGTGGAAAGCTTTATTACTTCTACCAGCGTGCATGTGTTTCCGTGTGTGTGTGCGTGTGTGTTTTTGGTTGGCAGGGCTCTCAGGCTGTCTTCTTACAGACATGGATGAAGTAGCAGGGAGCCTGGAACAGGTCATGGCTGTTGTTTAGAAGAATTCCTCCTTGTCTCCATTCTCAGACTCGCTCTCGTCTTCAACAGTGGCGTCCTGGTACTGCTGGTACTCCGACACCAGGTCGTTCATGTTGCTCTCAGCCTCTGTGAACTCCATCTCATCCATACCTTCACCAGTGAACCTGAAACAATGGACGTAAAGTAAAAGCTTGTGTGAATTCTGAGTAAGAACAGGCCAGCACAAGAACACAAKCTTCTCCCCACACACATCAGTCTTATTTCACTCACCAGTGGAGGAAAGCCTTGCGGCGGAACATGGAAGTGAACTGCTCTGAGACGCGCTTGAACATCTCCTGGATTGCTGTGGTGTTGCCAATGAAAGTGGAGGACATGTTGAGGCCGCGGGGAGGGATGTTGCAGACGGCCGTCTTGACGTTGTTGGGGATCCACTCCACGAAGAAGSTGCTGTTCTTGTTCTGCACATTCAACATCTGCTCCTCCACCTCTTTCATGGACATGCGGCCCCGAAAGATGGCGGCGACAGTAAGATAGCGCCCGTGGCGTGGGTCGCAAGCAGCCATCATGTTTTTGGCGTCAAACATCTGCTGGGTGAGTTCAGCAACTGTCAGTGACCTAGAAAWAGAGATAATTCAGGTGAGATTCAAAATACATCAAAATACTACTGGCTGGTCTGATGTGGCTCCTGCCTCGCTACCTGTACTGCTGGCTGCSCCGACTGGTCAGGGGGGCAAAGCCTGGCATGAAGAAGTGCAGCCTGGGGAAGGGCACCATGTTGACAGCCAGTTTCCTCAGATCTGCATTGAGCTGACCGGGAAAGCGCAGACAGGTGGTCACCCCGCTCATGGTGGAMGAGACAAGGTGGTTGAGGTCACCATAGGTGGGTGTAGTGAGTTTCAGTGTACGGAAGCAGATGTCATACAGGGCCTCATTATCAATGCAGAAGGTCTCATCTGTGTTCTCGACCAGCTGGTGGACAGACAGGGTGGCATTGTAGGGCTCCACCACTGTGTCTGACACCTGGAMAGGGAGAGTGAAGGGCAAGAGGAGACAAAGGGAGGAGGCAGGATCACCATTAAAGCACAGAGGAAACAAGTAAAGCAACAAACATCTGATAACATTTTAATMAGTGAGGTGTACCTTGGGTGAGGGGACCACGCTGAAAGTGTTCATGATGCGGTCAGGATACTCCTCTCGGATTTTGCTGATAAGCAGCGTYCCCAGGCCAGAGCCGGTGCCTCCACCCAGGGAGTGTGTGAGCTGGAAGCCCTGGAGGCAGTCACAACTCTCTGCCTCCTTCCTCGTCACATCCAGGACAGAGTCCACCATCTCGGCTCCCTCAGTGTAGTGGCCTTTAGCCCAGTTATTACCTGCTCCACTMTGGCCTGTACATGCAAATACAGAAAAACCTTGAGTAGAAAAACCTTCCTGATCTATTTACAATATGACTTCACAGTATTTGTGAAGTAAAACTCCTTTTACTTGCAACGAGCAATGCATATTCTGAAAAGGACTGACTCCTTTACTCTTGCAGAATTGTGGAAAGCAACTCTTTCAGTTTTAAAGATCAAATCAAGCCAATTTTGTCAGGCCGTGTTTAAATACAAATTCATATTGACATTTCAATTCTCACCAAAGACAAAGTTGTCTGGTCTAAAGATCTGGCCAAAAMYACTAGACCTCACYGAGTCCATTGTTCCTGGCTCCAAGTCCACCAGCACTGCACGAGGGACATACTTCCCACCTGTTGATGACAGGGACAAGAATATGAATACAGACAGGCAATTCACACAAACAATGCTGAAAAAGAAAATAGTACACAAGTAAAGATCGCTCCCTTTTTCCTTCACTACCATTGAGTTAACAGTCATTAAATACGAAGCCCTTTGAAGAGAGGAAAAACACATTCAACTGTACTACATAGTTTGTATTTAATTCTGTCTATTTCTAGTGATTGAAAGTCATTATACTGTGAGATGATAACTTCAAGTCTCAAGTTAATAGGGTTTTAGGCGTTTTACATTTGTAATTCACCATTTTAAAATTTAAATGGCAAGACAAAGCACAGACAGTGGTTTATAAATAAACTTTAATCCCTCGTATTTTGCAGCCTGTTGCTTTATATCTGTTCATAATACAACACATCTTGATTTAGATCACTCCCTTATGTGCAGTCTAATGAATGTTAAATTAAAGCTGACATTGTTAGCTGGGGTTTGATTTGTTGTTTCATAAAATGGTGACAGTAACTAGGAGGGGATTACGACCCCCTGGGATGAGGACCACCTGCTGGATGGTTGGGGTAATAACAACCTTCCTTTGGTATTGAATTACATTGACTCCTGTGGAAATGAGATGATCATTGGAAKAMRTTTGGCAAAATGATGCTTACCTGTAGCCTCGTTGTAGTAGACGTTGATTCGCTCCAGCTGATTTTGGCTGTCTCCATGGTAAGTCCCACTTGGGTCGATGCKGTGTTCWTCACTTATCACCTCCCAGAACTGGAGGAGAACAAACATTAGGGGTTAAATTAGCCGGCTAACTAGCATGACCTGTCCTAGAGAGTCAAATTTAACATGGTCTATAATTATCTTTGTCGCCAGGTAAGTTAATTCAGCAGCCCACTCAGTATGAATTTGCTCTGTTACACTTTTAAAACGTTTCTTCAAACCTTGGCTCCGATCTGGTTTCCACACTGGCCAACTTGTAGGTGCACGATCTCTCTCATTGTGGTTGAAATTAAAAACTTGATTCTTCTCTCTGTGAATGAAGATGGAGAAAGCTACTGTCAATCAAAACTAACTGGGAATGTGATTGGTCAATGAAAGTTAGTGTGGAGTTATGATTGATGGTGCCCCAGGTGAGCTCCATTGCCTTGATAACATAAAGTAAATTTCAAACACAACATTTTGTGAGAATACACAACAGTGAGAATAACTACGCTGTTACAAATCTTCCCAGATGTTGGATAACTAGCTAGCTTCTTTTGTGGCTAGCTAACCATAGCTATATCAACAAATTAAAACTTGAACTAGAACAGTATATACTTAATAGGCAGCCGTTGGTCTTGATTCTGAGTCTGAAATCTCTGAGGCTAAAGACTTAGTATCCGAGTATTTTTCGCAGGATCAATCTGGAGTTGTGTTTTGAAATCGAGCCCTTCTACATGAATAAGGCTCCTTTGATAACATTTAAGATGCTACAATGAAAAGGTGATGTCATCAAAGGAGCCTATGCCACATAGAAGATGCTACAAAGGAGATGCCACATAGAAGATGCAATGTCATCAAAAGGAGCCTATGCCACATAGGAGATGCTACATAGAAGATGCTATGTCATCAAAAGGAGCCTATGCCACATAGGAGATGCTACATAGAAGATGCTATGTCATCAAAAGGAGCNATAGGAGATGCTACATAGAAGATGCTATGTCATCAAAAGGAGCCTATGCCACATAGGAGATGCTACATAGAAGATGCTATGTCATCAAAAGGAGCACTGTTCATTTCACACATCAAAGCAGCTGTGTGAAATGTATGGAATCAGAATCAGAATCCTTTAATGTCAATGTTCATTTTCACCAACATTAATACAGTGAAAATTGTTTCAGCAGCTCTTCTTGTTACAGCAGCATTTGACCGATTTTAGAAATCAGAACAAGAAACAAAAAGAAAAAAATTTTAATGTGCAATTTTTATGTTTTTTTTTGATAAAAATAGTGTAAGTAAGCATAGTAACGTGTAAACAGCGTAATAACAATGCAATTTGTACAGTAGGACAGTCAGTGATTTCGGGCAAAAATTACACCTTCAGAAAAATAAAAAATAATTCACAGTGAATGTTTTCTTGTTGGGTCGACTGGGTGTGTGTGTGTGTGTGTATGATGTTTAAGACAGTTCTTGGATATATTGTGAAGGGGAGTGTGTGTGTGTGTGTGTGTGTATGTATGTTGTTTAACAGTCCTTGGAAGGTATGGGTGGGGGTGGGGTGATGGTCTTAACGGCCTGTGGGTAGAAGCTGTTTAAGAGTCTTGTGCTTCTGGCTTTGAGAGAGCGGTATCTCTTACCAGAGGGGAGTGGTGTGAATAGGGCATGTCCGGGGTGTGTGGGATCTATGCTAATGTTACTGGCCTTCTTATGGAGTCGGCCAGTGTAGAGGTCTCAGAGGGGGTCCAATGTGCACCCGATGATTCTCTCTGCAGCCCTCACCACCCTTTGCAGGTCCCACCTGTCCTTGACGTTGCAGCTGGCAAACCACACTGCACAGCAGTAGGTCAGGATGGACTCTTATGGTGGCCCTGTAGAAGTTGACCAACAGGGGGCGAGGGAGGTGAGCTTGCTTCAACTTCCTGAGGAAGTAAAGGCATTGAAGAGCCTTCCCCACCTGATTAGAGGTGTGGACAGACCTGGTAAGGTCAGCTGTGATGTGTACTCCAAGGAATTTGAAGCTCTCCACCCTCTCAACCTCCTGTCCATCAATGGAAAGGGTGGGGAGCACAGTTCTCTTAGATTTCCTAAAATCCACAATAATTTATTTTGTTTTGTTCGTGTTTAAGTCCAGGTTATTGTGGGAGCACCAGTCTGTCTGTCACGGTCAGTCTCTCTTACCCCCACCCTGCATGCCGGCTTTTTGGGACGTCAGGAGCCGTCCCTTGATGGGGAGGTTCTGTCAGAGTTAGTCTCACAGTCAGTCTCCCATCCTCCCACTTCTCAGTACTTTTCCATGGACTCCGCCTCTGCTTCATCTGCCAGCCAAGCCACACCCTCATCAAGCAGGTGCTCCTCATCATCTGCAATCAGCCCAGTATATATTCACCAGCTCCACTCTCAGTCAGTGGTCCGATTGTTCTACGCTCTGATGCCAGACTAGCCAGATTGTTCAACGTCTTCATCCAGAATGTTTTTTGTATTGCCTGCCTTCCTAATCTGCTGTGAGCTACGCTCACTTCTGCCTCCTGTCCCTGACCTAGTCTTTTGTCTTTTTGCCTGTTTTTTTGTATTTGCCTGCCTGCCAGATCTGCTGTGAGCTACGCTACAATAAAGACTGCAACCAGCTTGTGTGCTGCGTTTGGGTTCAAACTATACCTGTTACACTGTCAGGTGTTTGACCTCCTCTCTGTAGGCTGACTCATCGTTGTTTTTTTTCAGTCCTACGATGGTGGTGTCATCGGCAAACTTGACGATGGTGTTTGTGGGGTGGATGGGGTAGCAGTCGTGGGTGAAGAGGGAGATGAGGAGGGGGCTGAGGACTGGCTCCTATTCTCAAAGATTAAGCAGTAGATTATCTGGACCAGCCCACTTTATCAGTGCTGTAAGTCTTTGAATGGAATCCTCACGGTGAATCCTGTTTGGAGATGATGACCATGTAATTGCTATGGCTCAGCTCTGGCCGGGGACTTTAGTTACATGTCATACCATCCATCCCTTATTCCCTGTGACGTCTTGACATTTTATGATGCAATAAAGGCAAAAAATGCCAAGAAATACGTTCAGTGCAACACATTTGATAAGCATCGTTTGATGCAGCACAAACTGAAAAGGTCCAAACAGCATTTATAGTAAATTATATCAGGGAAGTAATGTGAACTAAATGTGGGGGTTCGCAGTCTTTTGGTTGTTTTCATCGATTTCCTCACCTGCAAGGCCAATAACTCCAGTTATAATTGGACAGTAAATGGGTTTTTAATGTTATCTTTATAATTCAGGGAATGTTGACTGAAGAGGTGCAATTATTCCTGAACTTCCACTCATCTGGTGTGACAGCTACAAGACCAATGAATAACACAAGTGAAGTCAGGATGTGACAAATAATTGAGTTGGACTGAAACAGATTTGCTGTTCAGGGTTGTTATGCTGAAAAATAGAACGGCGGTTACCACTGTTTGTGTATGTGTGTGTGTGTGTGAAAATCAGTGCAACGTGCATTAAACACGACCTACTGAGGAACACAAGGATGATTTTGGAGTTTGTGTTTAATCAGAGGAAAAGTGACCAAATATGTCCTCTTCCATTTCATTCTAGAAAAAGAATATTTGTTGAGACATGTCATCAAACAGCAACTTATTTCCTCATGATCAAAAAAAATATTTGGGAAAAGGGTGGGGAGTAGGAGCCAAGGGTTATAAGTAATGAATTACTACAGTATGTGTTGTAAATCATTATATTTAGATTTTTTCCACTCTCTTGTTTGATTTTATAGCCCACACACTCTGCTCTCATCAACCTCAAACTAAAATCAGTTTACAGATGTACACAGTGTTTGATTTGTTATTAACTTTAATGTGCAATGAACTTAGAAAGGGAAGATAGCATTAAATAGTCTGTTTAAGTTATTTGTCATATTTTGCCATGAGACATCCTTTTTTTATATAACTCAACAAGGAAGGAACGGTTTTACTAAACTTGGTGGGAATACTACATGGAAGATCGCTCCATATTCTTCTTTTCACTTTCCTCCCGTTCTTTTTGATGCCATTCGGTCTCTACATGTAAATTTAAATTTAGTCATAAGTAGAAGTTATCAGCATTAACTATTTTGTAACTATTTTTTAAATATGATGGCATACCCCCTCACAACCTACGAATCACCTGCTGCCCGTACAATATACCTGCCCATCACCAGGCAGACATGCAGTTAGGCTTAATCATTTTTAAAACACATCACTGTTGGTATGCTTACACCTAGCATACACTTTTGGGAATGGTGCAGAGCCCGTTTAGTTAGAAAACTCTGGGGTTACGTTTTACTGTGGCTAGAAATAAGTGATACTGTAGGAAACGATGACAGCACATATGTAAATGCAACAGATGCACTTATATTGAACTTCTATCTATTAAATATATGTACATATGAAGTGAAAATATATTTATATATAACTGAACACATTTATGTGGATGAGACAAAGTAATGCACATATTTAAATGTTGTGTAGCATTTACAGGCAGATAGTTTTCTTGGAGACCAACTTGGAGTTAAAAGGAGAATAAATGCATCGAGGAGGTGGACACACACACCACTTAAAAAGAATGATGGTGTTGTTCTGTGCTTGCTGGACCAACTTTCATTATGTCACAATACGGTGTGTCAGTGTTGTGCTTACATTCAACCGAGCTGCCCCAAGTGGCCAAGAAAATCAATAAATGGAGATTGAATCCAAAATGTAGTAGTAGCTGAGAAAACGCTGATATGAATTGCATTCAATAATTTTCTCTCAATAGAGGGAGGATGTGAGAAAAGGTTTTCAGAGACGGTGTTTGTAGATGAGGTTGCGGGACTTAATGATTTTCTTGCAGCAATCTAGATGCATATTATATAAATTACGTTAATATGCACCCACCAAAAGAAAAATGACAACGTGACTCTAGTGTCCACAGGAACTCATAGTAGGACTACCAGCCTAATAATCACACAGTCCCACACATGATTTCCAAATGATCAGGGCCGACATGCTGAGGTTGACCAGAGAGTGTAGGTGCTACATGGATTCAGGGCCCAGGAGGTGTCAACTGCTGCTGGCTCAGGAGGATGACAACATGGTGTAAATGACCTTGTTTTGAGTCAAATATGAATGTTGGGGCGCACACTTTCTTTTGTGGTCACCATCTACTTCAATTGTATTGGATTTGGCTGCAACACTGTTTCACCCTGGAATTCCTAAAATGTTTTGTGGACTCAAACAAGTCACCCACCCCTCCATCGGCATAGCCGTGACTGGATAATGAGTAATCTTTCATTTTTGGGTGAACTATTCCTTTAGATAAGTTGGACAGTGCGTTGAATGTCAATACCAAAGTTTCAGCATTCGTGACAGTTGAATGTGTTTTGCATGACCGGCATCAGAATTGACACAGAATGTCGGAGTGTAAGTTAATAGCAAAATGTCATCTGTATAAAGTGAAACGGAATGGTTGGTTCCTTTAATCACTGTGGAATAAATGTGTTGGTGATTTATTTTGTTGAAAACATTCTTGTCCTGTATGTTTGTATCACACAAAGTCACGAGCACATAGATATCCACTGTGTGCATAGGCAGTAGATTCAGTTTAACATGTGTAGATGACTTAAATAAAAATACAATCAATCAGATACATCTTCTGGTGACCATGAATGCCTGTTGAAAATTAGAATCCCGTCCACCAGTACAACAGTTTT